CCATCATTAAAAAGTCTACAAATAACAAATGCTATAGAGCGTGTGGAAAAAGGAACCCTCCTACACTGTTGATGGGAATGTAAATTGGTGCAGCCACTATGGAAAACAGTATGGAGGTTCTTGAAAAAATGAAAAATAGAGTTGCCATATGATCTAGCAATCTCACTCCTGGGCATATATCTGGAGAAAAAACAGCAATTCGAAAGGATAAGTTTACTCCAGTGTTCATTGTAGCACTATTTACAATAGCCAGGACATGGAAGCAACATAAATTCTATCGACAGATGAATGGAAAAGAAGATGTGGTGTATGTATACAATGGAATATTACTCAGCCATAAAAAAGAAATAATGCCACTTGCTGTAATGTGGGTGAACCTAGAGATTATCATACTAAGTGAAGTAAGTCATAAGGAGAAAAGATAAGTACCATGTGATAACTCTTATGTGTGGAATCTAAAATACAACACGAACATATCTGTAAAGCAGAAAAAGTCTCACAGATATAGAGAACAGACTTGTGCTTGCCAACGGTGGGGGTTGGGAGAGGGATGGATTGGAATTAGGAAATGCAAACTATTATATATAGAATGGATAATCATTAGGTCCTACTGTATAGCACAGCAAACTATAATAGGAAAGAATACGAGAAAGAACATATGTATAACTGAGGCAGTTTGCTTTATGGCAGAACTTAACAATACAATTTTTTAAAATTAAGGATAATAAACAAATGGATTTCCCTGGTGGCCCAGACAGTAAAGCGTCTGCTACAATGCAGGAGACCCGGGTTCATTCCCTGGGTTGGGAAGATCTCCTGGAGAAGGAAATAGCAACCCACTCCAGTATTCTTGCCTGGAAAATCCCATGGATGGAGGAGCCTGGTAGGCTACAGTCAGTGGGGTCGCAGAGAGTCAGACACGACTCAGCGACTTCACTTTCACTTTTTCAATAAATTAATGTCACCATACTTTAATTTTAGAACATTTTCATTACCTAAGGAAAAACTCTGTACCCTTTAGCAGTCACTCTTTATCCTCCCTCATCCTGTCCTGAGTCCTAGGCAACCACTAATCTACTTTCTGACTATACAGATTTGCTTATTCTATTAATAGATATTTTATGCAAATGGAATTATACAATATGTGTTTTCTGTGACTGGCTTTTACTTGACATAATGTTGAGGTTCATCCATGTTATAGAATATATCAGTAATACTTCTTTCATTTTTATGGCTGAAAAATATTCCAGTGTATAGGTATACCAGTTTTGTTTATCCAGTCAGCAGCTGATGGACATTTGACTTTTTTCCACTTTTTGACTGTTAAAAAATCATGGCTGTTACAAATGTTCGTGTACAAGTTTTTGTGTAGATATATGTCATTTCTCTTCAGTAAATACATAGCAGTGAAATTCCTAAACTGTTTCCAATTGGCAGCACCATTTTACATTCCCACTGCAGTTTATGAGTGTTTCAGTTTCTCTACTTCCTCATCAAAAACTTGTTATCTTTTTTTCTTAAAGCTATCCTGGTAAGTTTAAAGTGGTATCTCATTGTGGTTTGAGCTTCCTTTTTTGTAAAGACTAATGGGCTTCCCCAGTGGTGCAGTGGTAAAGAATCTGCCTACCAGTGCAGGAGATGGAAGAGATGTAGGTTCGATCCCTGATTCAGGAAGATCCCCTGGAGTAGGAAATGCCAACCCACTCCAGTATTTTTGTCTGGAAAATTCCATAGACAGAGGAGCCTGACAGGCTATAGTGCATGGGGTTGCAAAGAGTCGGACACAACTGAGCACACACACAGTACACACAGTGACTAATGATGTTGAGCTTCTTTTCATTTACTTTCTGGCCATCTGTGTATATATATCTGTTTCTGAAAAATGTCTTTTCAGGTCCTTTGCCTCTGAGTTCTTGCCTCTGGTGAGGGCCCTGTCCTGCAAGTGAGCCTTTCACTCTAACTCTGCCCCACCTGGCCTGTCGGCAAACCCTTGGAACATTCCTGTATGTGTCAGTGACACATTTCTAAAGAAGTCACCCTTTTCACTAAGTGGAACGCTCACATTAACCAGAAATTTCTCGTCTTTCAGGCTGTTGGCCTGTGGTGGAAGGTGAGGAGTTGCCTTCTGAGAAGAATGCTTCTGGAGAAGTGGTGGCACAGGTCAGGACTCCCAGTGTACCTCCTTCCATTCAGAAGGCTGACAGCTGTGACACATGTGAGCCACTCTTGAAAAACATTTTGCAGCTGGACGACCATCAAAGGCATACTGGGGAGACTCCCTGCACATGTTTAGCATATGGAAGAAAGTTTTGGTTTGGTGCAAATCTTCACCAGCATCAAGAGTACAATGGAGAAAAGCCCTTCCAATGGAACAGAGACAGGGACTTGTTTGTGAAGAGCTCAACAGGCTCTCTGTCAGAGAAGCCCATTACATGTGGGTTAGGTGGCCAGGATGTCTCAGACAGCCATGACCTCCTCCAGCCCCCAAGCATGAATGGCAGTGGGGAGCCACATAGCAGCACAAAGGGCAGGGAGGCCTCACTGCACCCTTTCGATTCTGGGCAGCTCCCAGAGGTCCAGTCCTTACAGAAGCCCTTCAACTGCAGTGACAGTGGGAAAGCCTTCCAGAAGACTAATGTCCTCCTCAGCCACCTGAGCACTCACTCTGAAGAGACACCATTTAGATGCCCAAGAGTTGAAAATTCCTTAGAGGAGAAATCAGCCCTTATTAGTGACCAATGGTTTCATACTGGAGAAACATCTCATATATGCAAAGAGTGTGGCAAGGCTTTCAGTCACCCATATAAACTGAGGAAGCATCAGAAATTCCACACAAGAGTTAAAGATTATGCGTGCAGCGACTGTGGGAAAACCTTCAGCCACAAACTCACCCTCATTCATCACCAGAGAATCCACACAGGAGAAAGGCCTTATGAATGCAGTGAATGTGGGAAAGCCTTCAATAACAGGTCACACCTCGCTCGGCATGAGAAAGTTCACACAGGAGAAAGGCCTTTCAAGTGCAGCAAATGTGGAAGAGCCTTCAGCCAAAGCTCGAATTTCCTTCGGCACCAGAAAGTCCACACCCACATAAAGCCTTATGAGTGCAGTCAGTGTGGTAAAGCCTTCAGTCGCAGCTCTGCGCTCATGCAGCACTGGAGAGTTCACACTGGAGAAAGACCGTTTGAGTGCAGTGAGTGTGGGAGAGCTTTTAACAACAACTCCAACCTTGCTCAGCACCAGAAGGTTCACACCGGAGAACGGCCTTTCGGATGCAGTGAATGTGGGAGAGACTTTAGCCAAAGCTCTCACCTCCTTCGCCATCAGAAGGTCCACACCGGAGAGCGGCCTTTTGCATGTGGTGAATGTGGGAAAACCTTCAGCAATAGCTCCACCCTCATTCAGCACCAGAAAGTACATACTGGACAAAGGCCTTACAGGTGCAGTGAGTGCAGAAAAGCCTTCAGTCGCAACTCCAGCCTGGTTCAGCACTGGAGAACTCACACTGGGGAAAAGCCTTATGAGTGCAGTGAATGTGGAAAAGCCTTTGCTCACAGTTCCAGTCTCATTGAGCACTGGAGAGTTCACACCAGAGAAAGGCCTTATGAGTGTAATGAATGTGGGAAGTTCTTTAGCCAAAAGTCCATTCTTACGAAGCATCAGAAAGTTCACACTGGGGAAAGGCCTTATGAGTGCACTAAATGTGGCAAGTTCTTTAGCCGTAAGTCCAGCCTCATCTATCACTGGAGAGTTCACACTGGGGAAAGGCCTTACGAGTGCAGTGCATGTGGGAGAGCCTTCAGCAGTAACTCTCACCTCATTCGTCACCAGAGAGTGCACACACAGGAAAGGCCCTACGAATGCAGCCAGTGTGGGAAAGCCTTTAGTGAAAGATCCACACTTGTTCGACACCAAATAGTTCACACCAGAGAAAGGACTTATGAGTGTGGCCACTGTGGGAAAATCTTCAGCCGCCTCTGCAACCTTGCACAGCATAGAAGGATCCACAGCTGAGTGTAGCCTCATGGAGATGGTCTTTGGGAGATCTTCAGCCACATCATACTTCAGGCAGCAGACTACAGAGAAATTCCCTAATGTGTCACTGATGTGGAAATACCTTCAGAAGCTACCCTGCCCTTTCTGAGTAGCCTGGGAACCTACACAGCGCTGTCTCCCCTCTGGAGCATAAACCTCTTTCTAGCTGCCTGTTGCCTCTGAGAGAGTCAGGGAATGAACTGACCCATGCTGGTTGAGAGATTCATTAATAAAGACACATGACAGTCCTACACATTAATGTACCCAACAGTGCTTCAGGATACATGAAGCAAAAACTGATGGAACTGCAAGGAGAAAGAGACAAATTCACAATTATACTTTGGGATGTTCACACTCTCCCAGATAATCATTAAAGGCGTGGAAGACAGCAATTTTAACCAGCTTGACATAATATTTATAGAACTTCCTGTCCAAGAGGACAGAATAGACATTCTTTTCACATGCACGTAGAACATTTACCAAAATGGAGCATATTCTGGGCCATAAAAGAAGGCCTGATAAAGGGAAAAGAAATAATACATGGTATGGACCTTGACTATAACAGAATTCAATAAGAAATCAAGAACAGAATGATGTGTGGGAAACCCTCATTCAGAAACTGAATATCACACTTATAAATAATCCATGGTCAAAGATGAAATCAAAAGAAAAATTTGAAAGTACTTGGAATGAAAATGAAAACAGCATATCAAAATATGTGGGATATACCTAAAACTGTACCAAGGGAGAAATTGTGTGTGTGTGTGTGTATAGGTGTGTGTCCATGTATACTGGTGAAATACTAATAAGCCTTATGGATTGTAGAAGAATCATTAAATGCCAGGTTTTTTAAAGTTCCAACAAAAGAAGCAGACGTGACTCCAGGCCACGAAGTTTTTCTTCACTGAAAGGTAAAAGCCTACTGTAGGGTCACGTGAGCCCCCAGGAGAAAAACATAAGGACAGACTCGGGTCCTGAGATGAGGTGCACCAGGAGGGGCTCACTGACACACTGAAGGGCCCGTCACAGCCCTGCTCACAGCTGCCAGTGAGGGATGTCTGTCTCCCATGTCTTAGTCCATTCCAACTGATCAAACAAATACAAACTGGAAGGCTTTAAAATAACAAATTTATCACAGTCCTGGAGACTGGAAAATGCAAGATCACAGTGCCAGGATATTTGGTGTCAGGTGAGGATCTGCTTCCTGGTTGACAGCCATCCTCTGTGTCCTCACAGTGAAGGAGAGGGGGTCCTTGGGGGCCTCTCTTATGAGACCACTAATCCCAGTCACAAGGGTTCCTCCCTCAAGACCTCATCAACCTCCCAAAGGCCCCACTTCCAAATACAGAACACTGAGTGGGTTAGGCTTTAACCTAGGTATTGGGGGGGGGACACAGCTTCGGTCTACACCACCCTACTACAATGTCAGTTTCACGCAGGAGGGGCCTGTGGATTTCATCCTGCCAGGGGAGTGAAGTCTCCAGGGCTCAGCAGCTGGACGGGGTAAGCACCACTCTTTCCCTGAGGTCTCCTACCTTCTCCTTCCCCAGGGTCAGCTCCGACAGGGCTGTGTACCATCCCTCAGGGCCACCAGACATCCCCTGGGGTCCTACTGGGCACCAGGCTTTTGCCTGAGCTCCGCGGTAGATGCATTTCATCTCCATCTGATGTGCAATACAAAGGTTTAACGTGCAAAGGGACCAAAGGATACGGTCACTGCAGAGCAACCGCAGCTCTGAGAGGAATGAAGCACAGGTGAGAGTGACAGTGATGCCGCTACTGCCCGCTTTTAGGCTGGCAGGAAAATCTGAGGAGGGGACTCCAGGAACCTTTTCAGCCAGGAGCGGCAGTGCAGAGGCACCAGGCAGGGATGACCCATGGAGGGACCATGGGGGAGAAGCAGGCCGTGAGGTCAGGAGACAGGTCATGCCACCCTGTCGGTTGGGGTGAAGAGTCTGGTCAGTGCCCTGACCCCCACCTGCCTGGACATCTGGGCCCTGCTTGGCTCTGCCAGACTTTGACTCTGCTCCATACAGACCTCCACGCTGAAGGCAGACAGTTGATCACACACAGGGATTACACACACAAGGGCCCCAGCAGGCCTGGGGTGGCGTGTGCCTCACGGCACTGGAGACGCCGAGCAGACTGGCCGAGAGCTCCCTGCACCCACGGCTGCCGCCCCTCCTGCTGGCGGGGTGGCTGAGGGGAAACTGCTGAAGCTAAAGGCAGCAGCAGTGGGTTCCAACCCCAACACATGGTCCTGGCTGAGCACCACTCAGCCCAAAGCCTCCAGTCTGTTGTTGGCTCTCCCCAAACACGCCTCCACTAACGTTTTCTTCTTGATGTGAAGCACTATTTATAGACCAGGGACATGGTGACAACCACAGTGATAACAAGTTTCACTGAACTGACATTTACCTTGTAAAAGAGTAGTTTCCAACATTTGAAAAATCAAAGGGCCCACAACCGACAGATCTGGATCTATATGTGAATCAACAACTTCCTTCCCTGGAGCCCTGTGACAGCAACAGCAAAAAGTCAAGGCTGTGGTGTGCAGACACACCAGGAATCCCAACCAGGTCACGAAAGCTGCATCCCAGAATGACAGGATCTTCTCTCAGCCCCAGGGTGACGGCCAGGAGGTAAACATGCCCGGAAGGCTCTGAGGATCCAAGGAACCTGTAGGCTATTTGCTGACAGCGACCTTGGACACCAGAAACAGGCTTGAAATTCCTGAGAAACGGCCCGCCTCACCCCCTGAAACTGCTCCTGGCACATCCATGGATTCCTCTTTAGAATTAGCTCAAGCCTCATGTGTGCCAAGGCCCCTGCTCCACAGGACTCCTCTCCGTGCTCCTGTGCCCACTCACTCTGCCCAGCAGCCCCTGCAGGACATACAGCCACTCTCAAACTTACCTCCACGTTCTCAGTTTCAGAGAGCTCGGCCTCTGAGCTGATTCTAGAAGCAGCTTCTGGCCAGCGCTGGAGGTTGCAGAACTTACCCCAGAAACAAGGAGCCCAACTGGTGCCTGTCCCCAGTCACACAGGGATCTTCTCCCCACCACTCCATTCTTCAGGCAAACTCTGGGCCCAGAGGTAGACCCGACATCCAGGCCAGAGATCCACCCACAGAGCCCTTCAGTCTCCCCCCGGAGGTCTGAAGCTCCAGTGCAAACTCGGCCAACCTTGACTGGAGCTGGCCTCTGCCATCCTGCTGTCCCCGCTGAGGTGGACGCCAGTCAGGGACCTCCAGAGAAACCACGCCCTCTATTCATGAGCCCAGGTTGGTTCTCAGTCCTTCCACACACAGAGATCAGAGCCCAAAGATTAAGGGTGGCGTACACGGAAGGTTTTTATTCGACATTCCAGAGCTGCTTGAGACAGTCCCAGGGCTGGATAAATTCAGGACAGGGACCCAACGTGGCGTCCACAGAGTCCATAAAGATGGCTAACCTTCCCTGGAAGCCCCTGCAGACACTGCTCCGCTACCGTCGGCCAGCGCTAGGTCATGTCCGCACCTCAACCGCCTCGGGGGAGGGAATAAGGCCGCGAATGGAATCCAGCGCCCGTGACTCTGTCCCTTACGGAGGAGAGGGCGGCTTCCCAGAGCGCACAGGGTCACTGATGCACACCACGGGAGCTGCCGGCTCAGAGCGGTGGGACGGCTTCCGTCACAGGAACTGACAATGGCCCAACACTGCCAACAGCCGGCTGGGCTGGAGTGCAGCGCGCCTGCCCGTTGGTGAGGGCGTCGGGTTCCGCTGGCAAACGGCCCCTCTCCCCAGCCTCCCTTTTGGACTGAGAACTTGAGCAGGAGCCAGCCGCGGCCGATGGCTTCCTGCCTGCCTGCCTGCCAGCCAGCCCGCTACGGTCTTCCTGCAGCGTGAACCTTCCTGTGCTGGAGGAGGGTCGAGCCGTGTTTGAAAGCGCGACCGCACTCGGGGCATTCGTGGGCCCGCTCCTCGGTGTGGAAGCGCTGGTGGCGATTGCGGTAGGACCGGGTGGTGAAGGTCTTCCCACACAGGCCACACTCGTAGGGGCGCTCGCCGGTGTGGACCTTCCGGTGCTGGTACAGCCCCGACCGGGTCACGTAGGCCTTCCCGCACTCGCCGCAGCCGTACGGCCTCTCTCCCGTGTGCACCCTCTGGTGCAGGACGAAGCTGTGGCTGTATTTGAAGAGCTTCCCGCACTGCCGGCACTCGTACGGCCTTTCTCCGATGTGCACCTTCCGGTGCCGAATGAGGGTGGACGGCACGCTGAAGGCCTTCCCGCACTCGCCGCACTCGTAAGGCCGCTCTCCGGTGTGGATTCTCTGGTGCAGGACGAGCGCGTCCTTGCGGTTGAAGGTCTTCCCGCACTCGGCGCAGTTGAAAGGCTTGACGCCAGTGTGGACCTTCTGGTGCTTCCTCAGTTTAGACGGGTAACTGAAGGCCCTGCCACACTCACTGCACACGTGGGGCGTCTCTCCAGGGCGAGCGTTCCGGTGAGGAAGCAGGCTTGAGTTCTCCGGCGGGCTGCTTCCACCTGCTGGGCCCCTGAAGGGCCGCCCTCTGGCGCGAGCGACGAGGTGGTCGAGGAGCGTGAAGGCCTGGAGGAAGGCCTGCCCACAGCCACTGCACCGGAAGGGCGTCTGCACCGCGTGGCCACCCTGCTGCCGCTGGCGAGCAGAGCCGGGTGGGCAGGCCTTGCTGCACTCGGGGCTCCCGCGGGGCGCCGCCTCTCCGCGGGCAGCCTGGGGCTGGAGGAAGCCTACGGCGGCAGGGAAGGCCCGTCCAGACGTCCCACACAGAGAGGGCTTCTCTGGCAGGCGGACTCGGCAGCTCTCTCCGAGCTCGCGAGGGGCGTCCTCATCCTGCAGTCTACACAGACAACCTGGGACAGAAGAGGCGGGCGCTGAGAGCGGGCCTGCAGGGAGGACGCACCCACGGAGGTGTCCACAGACTTGCAGGAGGTTGCAGGGAAGGGTTCGGATGAGGAGGGGCTGGCCCAGGGGAACGGGGAAACCGCAACAGGGACGAGGAAACAGACGGGAACACTGCAGGGAGGGGGCGCGGTCCTCAAGTCCTGCTCTGCAGAGGGCTTCAGCTGGGCCAGCGATGCTGACGGCAGCGAGCCCTGTGGGGAGGACGTCTGCCCAGTGAAAAGACGACTGACAGAGCGGCAGGTGCTCATGGATTACTGAAGGATGTGTGCATCCCAAGTCACACGCAGAGCAGGTCACCGTGGGCAGCTCTGCAGCGGCACAGAGAAGCGGGAATGACCAGACAGAGGCCGGAGAGGTGGGGCATCCAGAGCCTCAGTAGAGACTGCAAGACCACACGCTGAGTCCAGAAGAGGGGCAAGGTGGGAGTAAGGTGTGGTCACTGGCCCCAGCACCCAAATGCCAGTGCACACATACCCATCACTGAAACCAAGGCCTCCCCTGGCCCCAGTCACTGAGTCTGGGACCCTTCCTGGCCTCTGCTCGGCTGACCACATTGTCCACCATGTTGGGCACCCAGGCCTCTTCCTCACCCTCCATTTGGGCAACCTTGGGGGACTTTGAAGGCGCAAAGCCTAAGAGGGAGAACAGTAATAAGATGCCAGCCCTAATCAAGACTGACCCACCCTACAAAAACAGAGGAAGCTTGTGTCACCATGGCACCCATGAAGGAAATCAAGTATTAGAACATGGGACTCTACATTTTTTTAAAAAAATTGTCAGAGGCAATTGAATGTTCATTTATTTTTTATTAATTTTTAAAAATTGAAATATAGTGGACTTACAGTACTGTATTGGTTTCTGGTGTACAGCAAAGTGATTCAGTTATGTATGTGTGTGTGTATATACCTTTTTCAGATTATTTTCCATTATAGGTTATTAGAAGATACTGAACACAGTTCCCTGTGCTGTACAGCAGCTCCTTGTTGGACCCTCTTCTGTACATTTAAAATGTGTTAAGAAGGTAAATATCATGGTTTGTTTTACCACAGTTTTCTAAAAAAGAACCCCCTATGAGGCAAAACTGACAATAATTAAAGAAAGAATTAAGACAATAATATTTAGAGACTTCAATTTCTAACTTTCATAAATGGATAGGACCACTAGGCAGAAACTGAAGACGGACGTACCACTTGAATAACGCTAAAAATCAACTAGACCTCTAAGACATCTATAGAACATGCTACTTAACAATAACAGAATACATATTCTCCTCCATTCTGACATGCACATGGAACATTCTCCAAAAGAGGCCATTTGCTAGGACATAAAACAAACCAGTAGACTTCAGAGTAGAAAGCAACAACAGAAAAAATTTTGGGAAATTCACAAATATTTTAGAATTCTTTCAAATCATGGTTTATTACAAGATATGAATATACTTCCCTGTGCTATATAATAGGACTTTGTTGTTTATCCATTCTATATGTAATAATCTGCATCTGCTAGTTACAAACTCCAATCCACCCCTCTCCTGCTCCTTGCCCCATCCCCTGGCAACCAAAAGTCAGTTCTCCATGTCTGTGAATCTAGAAAACTCACAAATTTATGAAAATTAAAGTACTCCTAAATAACCACAAGGAAAATTATAAAACACTTTGAGATAAATGAAAGAGAACACAACATACCAAAAGTTATGGGGAAAGTCTTGCTTAGAAGGAAAATTATAGCAACAAAAATTGAGCTGCCTTATTCACAACACCTCTGACACCAAATCCATGGGTGGTTTTCCATACTATTTCTCCAACTGGGTGTTCAAGGATTCAATTCGATTCTGACACCAGATACGTGAAATTAGCACCAGATCCCACAGGTTACGGGCTCAGTCTCACAAGACTGCCCCTACCTCAGGCATCAGTTGAAGTCCCCTGCCTCCCATACTTCTGGTAGCTGTAAATCTGAGATTCTCACAATTATTGATTCCGCTTCAGGTTCAATAAGTTGCTAGAACAGATCTGATAACTCAGGTAAAGAGTTTACTTACTATTACCAATTTATTTTAAAGGCTATAACTCAGGAACAGCCCAGTGGAAGAAATGAAAAGGGCAGGGTATGCCAGGGTTGGAGACTGAGGATGCAGAGGGTAAGAAGGATCCATGCCCTTGGTGGCACCGTTCTCCTAGCACCTCAGATGTGTCCACTAACCCAGAAGCTCTCTGAACTGGTCATTCTGGAGTTTTTATGGATGTTTCATCACATAGGCATGATTGATTGAATCACTGGCCATTGATGATTGGCCCAAACTCCAGCCCCTCCCCCTCCCCACAAATGTCAGGGTAGGGAAGTGAGAGGAGGAGGCTGGGAGTAACTGAAAATCCAACCTTCCAATCATCCCCTGGTATTTTTGGTGCCCAGCCCCTATTCTGAGACTATCCAGGGGTCCCCAGCAACTGTCAATGTTCATCAGCATACAGAAGCATCTCATCACTCCAGAGATTCCCGAAGTTTTAGGAGCTGCATGCCAAAGAACTGGGAACAAAGACAAAATACATGTTTCTTAAAATGGCACAACACACATAGTAAAAAAGATCTCTATATGTATAACTGAATCACTCTGTTGTACCCCTGAAACACTGTAAATCAACTACACTTCAACTATAAAATGAATTTTTTAAAAAAGACCTTCAACCAATATCCTAACTTTATACTTCAAAGAACATAAAGAAAAAAACCAAAAAAAAGAAAAGAAAAAAACCAACCCCAAAGTAGAAAAAGACAATTTAAAAAAAAAAAAAGCAGAGATAAACTGACTGAAGAAGAAACAGAACAGCTGAATAGACTTAAAAAAAAAACTTCCGCACAGGGAAAAAAAAAAAGCTAGGCCGAGATGGTGTCTCAGGTTAATATTAACACAAATAAGAATTAACGCCGATATTTCAGAAACTGTCCATAAAACAGAAGATGAGGGAACATTTCCTAATTCATCCTTTGAAGCCAAAATTATCCTCATGCTCAATCCACGTAAGATACAAGAAAAGAAAACATACCACGTATGAATATAGAAAATCAATTACTGTAATACACCACATTAATAGAACAGAGGACAAAAATCACATGATCATTTCAATAGACATGGAAAAGCACTGCCCAAAATCTAAGAACTTTTCACAGTAAATGCGCTCAACAAGAGAACTTCCTCACCTGAATAGGACATTGCAATAAACTTAGAGCTAACATCATACTTATTAGTGAAAGACTGATGAGTGCCTTTCCTATCAGAACTGGAACAAGAAAAGATGTCTACTCTTAAAATTTATATCCAACAGCCAAGTTGGTTAGGCAAAGGAAGAAGTAAAAATATCTCTACTCACAGATGTTCTGACATTATATATATATATATATATATATATATATATATAATACCAAACAATCCACTGAAAGAACTATTAGAACTAATAAATGAGTTTAGCAAGGTTGCAGAGTACAAGATCTGTACACAAAAATCAATTACATTTCTCATTTCTATACACTAGCAATATATAATCTAAAATGAAATTAAGAAAAAAATTCCACTTAAAAGAGCATTAAAAAAAAAGATTTAAAAAATGGGAAGACCCAGAGGGATCGGATGGGGAGGGAGGCGGGAGGGGGGATCAGGATGGGGTACACATGTAAATCCATGGCTGATTCATGTCAATGTACAGCAAAAACCACTACAATATTGTAAAGTAATTAGCCTCCAACTAATAAAAATAAGCGGGAAAAAAAAAAAGATAAAAAGGAGGGGGGAGGAAAAAAGAGCATCAAAATGAATAAAATACTTAGAAATAAATTTCGCTTTGTATATTGAAAACACTGTTTAAAACATTAGAGCTAGTGGGTTTCCATGGTGGCTCAGTGGTAAAGAATCTATCTGCCAATGCAGGAGACATGGGTGCAATCTCTGCCGGGAAGATGCCACGTGCTGTGGGGCAACTAAGCTTCTGAGCCACAACTACTGAACCTGTGCTCTAGAGCCTGGGAGCTGAAATTACTGAACTCACACGCAACTGCTGAAGCCCATGTACCCTACAGCCCATGCTCTGCAACAAGAGAAGCCGCCTCAATAAGCCTGCACATGCCAAGGAGAAGTAGCCCGACTGCTGCAACTAAAGAAAGCCCACCCACAGCAACCAAGACCCAGCACAGTCCAAAATAAATAAATACATAAAATTATTTTTTTAAAATATATGAATATATATATATAGAGAGAGAGAGAGCTAAATAAACAGAAACACATTCATGTTTATGGATTGAAAGATATTAAAAATGGCAGTCCTGGAATCTTCTGGAAGTCCAGTGGTTAGGACTCCATGCTTTCCCTGCCAAGGGCATGGCTTAAATCCCTGATGGGTAACTAAAAGCCCACAAACCACTCAATGCAGCAAAAAAAAAAGATGGCTATCCTGCCCAAACTGATCTACTGATTTCAAGTCATGGCTGACATCTGGCCCAGGGAGGGCCCTATAAAATTTCTTTTGGAGGAGGAAGGCAAAACTCAGAGCACAGAGCGGACAAAGCTTCAGCGAAGTCACGCTGCCAGAAAGAGGCAGAGCTGGGATTTGTTGGGCAAACTACAAACACCTGACCCCCAAGCCCTACTCCAGGAGCCTGTGGGGCAACAGGTGTCAAAGCTGCCAACAGTGCTGCTCAGAGAGAGGCAGGGAAGGGCACACAGACTCCGAGGGCTTTAGGACGAACAGAACTTTCCATGGAGAAAAGGCAGAGGTGGTCAGTCTGTTGGGGAAAAGTGTGACTTACCCAGTGAGCCAATGAGTGCAAAGTTCTCCAGCATAACATGACAGTACAGGCTCCTCTGGGTCAAATTAAGGAGACCCCACTCCTCCCGGGAGAAATACACAGCCACATCCTCAAAGGTCACCGGGCCCTGTAATGATGAATTCCACTGAGCCTTAGGGTCAATAATGGGCAGAAAGCCAACCAAAATATGGACAGAGAAACACTCCCACGCCCTTGACCCGTGCCTCAGGTCCCGCCACATCCCTCACTGCCGTCATGGTTCCCTGTGAGCCCCCACCACTCACAAGCCCTCATACCTCTCTCCTCCTAAGACCCCTAGCTCAGAGGATTCCCAGGGCCCCCAATACCATTGGTGCCTGTCTCATCTTGTTGCTATTAAACTCTGCATCCAGCCCACAACAGGCTGCCATCGATGGACGCCTTGAAGCACACAGGTCCATCCTATTTCCTATCAGTCAATTCCCTGTCTCCCAGGGATCACCATTCGGAAGCAACAAACCCACGGTAGCGTCTCTCTCTCAAGCCTAAGTGCCCTCCACTTTGCCCTCCTGCACGCCAGGCACGTAACTCGGTACCGCAGCACGGTGCAACTCCACACCCTCAGCACAACCTCACTAGTCCACCCCACTGGCAACTTTCGCATGCCACTGTGCACACTGGTGTCTCCAGGGTGCCACCACGGGGAGCAACTTCAAGTCCTTCCTGCATCGCCCCCCGCCCCGCCGCACCTCCAGCGGCCCACGGCCAAGGGTACCCCCCGGCTCTGCACAGAGGACCTCCTCACCCTGCAACCCTCTGTCGCCGGGAACCACACCACACACGTAGCTCCCAGATCCCCGTCCCTCCTCCGTCTCTGTCTCTGCACAGACTGTCCCTTCACCTGTCACAGCCTTCCTCACCTCTCATAGGCCATTCAGAGTCCAGACCTGCTGGGTGGGGGTTCGGGTGCTGAGAACCTGGGGCACACCTCCCACTCACCTGCGCCTCCTTTGCCATCGGAACCAGATGGCGGAGAGTTTCAGCGGGCTCAGCTGAGATCCGTACCCGCCAGCCCGCCCGAGCCCCCGGCCGAATGAAGACCAGGAGCCGCTCCGGGAGGTTCTCGGGGGACAACAGCAAGTCTCAGCAAAAGGGAATCATGGCCGGGGTCACGGTGCGAGCAAAGGCGCGGTGACGGTCTCTGCGGTGAGAGCGCGGCCCTCAACGTACCTCACAACGCGGGGCAACGCCAGAAGCCCAGCCCCATTGCCCTCCCCGTGACGCAGGGACCGCCAGCGGAGGCAAAACGGACACCCGACGGCAACATCGGAAGCCCCGGCCCGCCAGCGCCTCCAGGTGGAACCTCTGCCCGCGTGCCTCCGTTAACTCGACTCCCGGGTCACCTGTGACCCCGTTTGGGGCGCGCGCGAACTACCGGTCGCGTAAGTGACGTCGCAGACTGCGTCTGTACCGTTGCAGCTAACGGCCAGGAGAGGGGCGTTTCCGGGAGAGCGGCGAGGGCGGGCCTGGGACTTCCGGTTGGGCGTTTGGACCTGGTCGCGGCCGGAGGACAGTTTTGTCCCACCCACCTGCCTTTCCGTTATTGGCAAATGTATTTGTTTGTTACAGACCAAAGAGTATAATTATACTGGTTTTGTTGCTTTTAAAGTAAGAAATATGAATTTACACATTTTTTATACACGTCAGTCATTACAGTATACTACAGGATAGTTTTGCTGCATGAAAAATCTCCTTTGTTCCATCTATTCACCCCACCTTCCCTTCCCCTGAGTCCTTGGCAACTACTACTTCACTCTCTCTAGTTTTACCTTTCCTAAAATGTCATAAAGTTGGAATCATACAGTATATACCTTTTTCAGCTAACTTTTTCACTTAGGAATACACATTTAAGATTCCATGCCTTTTTGTGGCTCCAGAGCGTAGTTCTTTTTATTGCTAAATAATATTCCATTGTATGAATGTACCAATTTCCTTATTCATTTATCATGGAAAAGCATCTCAGTTTGGCTCCAGTTATAAGCAATTACGGATAGATTTGCTATAAACATTCCTGTCCCACTGTCTGTCTCAACATATTTTCAATACATTTGTATAAATATGTTGGAGTGTGGTAGATGGATCACATAAGTTTATAAGAAACTACCAATTGTCTTCCTGAGGGCTATATGATTTTGCATTCTGGACAGCAGTAGAGTTCTGGTACCGCTTGTCAGTATTTTGGATTTTAGCCACTCTGATATGTAGTGATATTGTTTAAATTTGAAATCCCATAATGGGATATGATGTTCAGAATATTTTCATCTGCTTCTCTCTGCCATCTATGTATCTTTTTTGGTGGGATGTCCAAATCTCTTGTTTTTCCTTTTTTTTTTTTTGGCTGCACCACATAGCATGTGAGAATTTTAGTTCCCAGACCAGGGATCAAACCGATACCCCCTGCAGTGGAAGCACCCAGTCTTAACCACTGGACCGCCAGGGAAGTCCCCATTGCCCTTTGAAAATTGACATCAGGGCTTCCCTGGGGGGTCTGTGCATGCGTGCTAAGTTGCTTCAGTTGTGTCCAACTCTGTGCAGCTGTATGGATTGTAGCCTGCCAGGCTCCTCTGTCTCTGGGATTCCTCAGGCAAGAATATGGGGTGGGTTGCCATGTCCTCTTCCAGGGGATCTTCCCAACCCAGGGATTGAACCCATGTCTCTTATGGATAAGTGTGGTATCATCTGCATATCTGAGGTTATTGGTATTTCTCCTGGCAATCTTGATTCCAGCTTGTGCTTCTTCCAGCCCGGCATTTCGCATGATGTACTCTGCATTTAAGTTAAATGAGCAGGATGACAATATACAGCCTTGATGTACTCCTTTGCCTATTTCGAACCAGTCTGTTGTCCTGTGTCCAGTTCTAACTGTAGCTTCTTGACCTGCATACAGACTTCTCAGGAGGCAGGTCAGGTGGCCTGGTATTCCCATCTCCTTCAGAATTTTCCAGTTTGTTGTGATCCACACAGTCAAAGGCTTTGGCATAGTCAATAAAGCAGAAGTAAATGTTTTTCTGGAACTCTCTCGCTTTCTCGATGATCCCACAGATTTTGGCGATTTGATCTGTGATTCCTCTGCCTTTTCTAAATCCAGCTTGAACATTTCATGTACTGTTCATGTACACGGTTCACATACTGCTGAAGCCTGGCTTGGAGAATTTTCGGCACTAATTTACTAGCATGTGAGGTGAGTGTGATTGTGTGGTAGTTTGAGCATTCTTTGGCATTGCCTTTCTTTGGCATTGGAATGAAAACTGACCTTTTCAAATTCTGTGGCCACTGCTGAGTTTTCCATATTTGCTGGCATATTGAGTGTAGCACTTCTACAACATCTTCTTTTAGGATTTGAAATAGCTCAACTGGAATTCCATCACCTCCACTAGCTTTGTTCATAGTGCTGCTTCCTAAGGCCCACTTGACTTCCCATTCCAGGATGTCTGGCTCTAGGTGAGTGATCACACCATTGGGGTTATATGGGTCATGAAGGTCTTTTTTGCACAGTTCTTCTGTGTATTCTTGCCACCTCTTAATATCTTCTACTTCTGTTAGGTCCATACCATTTCTATCCTTTATTGTGCCCATTTTGCCATGAAATGTTCCCTTGGTATCTCTAATTTTCTTAAAGAGATCTCTAGTCTTTCCCATTCTATTGTTTTCCTCTATTTTTGCATTGATCACTGAGGAAGGCGTTCTTCCTTCCTTTCTTCCTTCCAGCACAAGCTGGAGTCGAGATTGCTGGGGAAAGTACCAGTAACCTCAGATATGCAGATGACACCACCCTTATGGCAGAAAGTGGAGAAAAACTAAAGAGCTTCTTGATGAAAGTGAAAGAGGAGAGTGAAAAAGTTGGCTTAAAGCTCAACGTTCAGAGGTCCCGGAGGCCGGGCTACGCCTAGACCTGCGCGTGAGCAGCTGCGGCGGCGGCAGCATCCAGCGGCGGTGCCAGCAGTTCCAGCCCGTTGCTTTACTTTTCAGCTGCACGAATACAGTCATGCCGAAGAGAAAGTCTCCAGAAAATACAGAGGGCAAGGATGGATCCAAAGTAACTAAACAGGAGCCCACCAGACGGTCTGCCAGGTTGTCAGCGAAACCTGCTCCCCCCAAACCTGAACCTAAATCAAGAAAAACATCTGCTAAGAAAGAACCAGCAACAAAGGTTAGCAAAGGTGTTAAAGGGAAGAAGGAGGAGAAGCAGGAAGCTGGGAAGGAAGGTACGGCAGCACCGGCTGAAAATGGTGACACTCAAGCTGAAGAGGCACAGAAAACTGAATCTGTAGCTAACGAGGGAGAATGAATGGTCATGAAAATTGGGGTTGATTTTATGTACCTCTTGGGACAACTTTTAAAAGCTATTTTTACCGAGTATTTTGTAAATGCTAATTTTTTAGGACTCTACTAGTTGGCATACAAAAATATATAAGGATGGACATTTTACCTTCTCATAGTCGTGCTTTTTGGAAATTTCCATCATCCTTGAGTAAAATAAATACCGGTTTAATATTGGATGGGGGGGGGGCTCTAAAATCACTGCAGATGGTGACTGAGCCATGAAATTAAAAGACTCTTGTTCCTTGGAAGAAAAGCTATGACCAAGCTAGACAGCATATTAAAAAAGCAGAGACATTGCTTTGCCAACAAAGGTCCATCTAGTCAAAGCTATGGTTTTCCCAGTAGTCATGTATGGATGTGAGAGTTGGACTATAAAGAAAGCTGAATGCCAAAAAAAAAAAAAAAGAAAGCTGAATGCCAAAGAATTGATGCTTTTGAATTGTGGTGTTGGCAAAGACTCTTGAGAGTCCCTTGGACCGCAAGGAGATCCAACCAGTCCGTCCTAAAGGAAATCAGTCCTGAATATTAATTGGAAGGACTGCTGCTGAAGCTGAACCTCCAATACTTTGGGCACCTCATGCGAAGAACGGACTCATTGGAAGAGACCCTGATTCTGGGAAGAATTGAAGGTGGGAGAAGGGGATGACAGAGGATGAGATGGTTGATGGCATGATGCAGTCCTTGGGGTTGCAAAGAGTCAGACACGACTGAGCAACTGAACTGATTGACTCATGGATCCTGCATTGGCAGGCATGTTCTTTACCACTAGCGCCACCTGGGAAGCAGTGGTTTAGAATCCGCCTTGCAGTGCAAGAGCCTTGCTGTGCATCAAGAAGCCACCGCAATGAGAAGCCCACGCACAACAAAGTGTAGCCCCCACTCACCGCAACTAGAGAAAGCCCGCATGCAGCAATGAAGAACCAACACAGCCAAAACATAAAATAAAATATTTTTTCCTTGAAATCCAGCAGAGGCCCACTGTCCTCTCACGGCCCATGAGTACCTGAAAGCAGAGAGCACGGACTGTGCGAAGCCAGCCACGCCCAAGGCCCAGTGTACCCCACCCCCACCATTCCCCAAGTGAAGAGTGCACTTCAGAAGGGCTAAACAAGGCTATAATGGAAGTAGGGGTCACACCCACGTCTGTTTGGCTCCAGAGTTCACATGCATGGCTGAGTTGGCTCCACTGGCTGGGAAGAACAATCCACTGGCTGCTGTTCTAAAAGGGTGGATTTCTGCATAGGTATGATTTTATTGGTATGAAATGCCCAGAATAGTAAATCCATAGAGACAAACAGTAGACATGGTTGCCAGGGATTAAGGGGAAGGAGGAATGGGACATGACTTGAATCAGGATGGGGCTTCTTTAAAATGTTCTGGAATTAGATAGTGGTTGCATAACTGTATGATCATATTAACAACGAAATGAATTGTAGACTCTGGGCAAATTGTATGAATGTGTTTAGATTACATTTCAAAAAACCTATTATTAAAAATAAAAACGAGCAAATTTCTGGAAGATTCCTTGGAAAAGTCCCATATCCAATGTGAGTTTTTCATGGCCACTAGAGTGGAAATACCCATGCCCAGTGAGCGGCATGCAGCTCTCAGATCCCTCCTGGCTCCTCTGCCCCAGCCTCTGCAGAGACTGAGAGGGCAGAGAAAGTCACAGCTTAGGAGGACATCCCCAGCTGCCCTGCCAAGGCGTGCCCCTAGGGTAGACGCTCCCCATCCGAGCCTGCTTTCCCCTTGGGACGGAGGGTCGCAGCACTTCCCAGGTCGGCCAGGAGTTAGGGCTAGGGAGAGCCCATCTGAGTCACGTTCTTCCTTTGTAATCTAATCTACCTGTGTTCGCATTAGTCTGAGCACTAGCTAAGCACCAAGGACAGCAAGGGCGGGGACGTGTCCGTTCAGAGCGCTGAGCCTTGTGCTCAGCAGAAGCGCCACCGGTGCGATAACAAACCGGATCACTGCCTCTTCCCGCGGCCCCGCGGCCGGGTCGTCGAAAGCGCTCTAGAGGTAGTCACGACAGCTTCGCTTCAGGTTCCCGCCCCTGACTAACTGGGCACAGCCGCCTCCCGCAGGCTCTCCCTCTAGACCGCAGCCTGACCGCTGTGCGCGCGCAGCGCTACCGCGCGAGGGGCCGCATGCGGGCAAAATCGCCACAGGGACGGCCGCCGCGGGCGCTCCTCCGACTATCATTGCGGGAGCGTCTCTGTCCCTCCCCCCGGCGCGGGGATGGTGTGACGCACGCCCAGTCCCACGGAACTGCGGCTAAGGTGGGCCAAGTTGCCAGGGCAACTACGGTCACGCCCCCAGCCCGGAATGCGGCCTCTGATTGGCCCGCGTTGCTGACACCCTCTTAGCTTTCCCCGCCTCGAACACCGCTGAGGTTCAGTTCGGTTCAGTCGCTCAGTCGTAGCCTACTCTTTGCGACCCCAAGGAATGCAGCATGCCAGGCTTCCCTGTCCATCACCAACTACCAGAGATTACTCAAACTCAGGTCCATCGAGTCAGTGATGCCATCCAACCATCTCATCTTCTGTCGTCCCCTTTTCCTACTGCCTTCAGTCTTTCCCAGCATCAGGGTCTTTTCCAATGAGTCCATTCTTCGCATCAGGTGGCTAAAGTATTGGAGGCTCAGCTTCAGCATAAGTCCTTCCAATGAATATTCGGTGTTGATCTCCTTTAGGACGGACTGGTTGGACCTCCTTGCAGTCCAGTGGGCTCTCAAGAGTCTTCTCCAGCACCACAGTTAAAGAGCATGAATTCTTTGGCCCTCAGCTTTCTTTATAGTCCAACTCTCACATCCATACATGACTACTGGAAAAGCCATAGCTTTGACTAGATGGACCTTTGTTGGCAAAACAGTGTCTCTGCTTTTTAATACGCTGTCATGGGTGATCATGGTGGCTCAACTGGTGAAGAATCCGCTTGCAATGAGGGAGACCTGGCTTCCATCCCTGGGTTGTGAAGATCCTCTGGAAAAGGGAACAGCTCCCCACTCCAGTATTCTGGCCTGGAGAATTCCATGGACTATATAGCCCATGGGGTCGAAAAGCTTTGGACACAACTGAGCGACTTTCACTTTCACTAGGTTGGTCATAGCTTTTCTTCCAAGGATCAAGCATCCTTTAATTTCATAGCTGCACTTACCATCTGCAGTGATTTTGAAGCCCAAGAAAATAAAGTCTGTCACTGTTTTCATTGTGTCCCCATCTATTTGCCATGAAGTGATGCGATCGAATGCCATGATCTTCATTTTCTGAATGTTGAGCTTTAAGCCAACTTTTTCATTCTCCTCTTTCACTTTAGTTCTTCTTTGCTTTCTGCCATAAGGGTGGTGTCATCTGCATATCTGAGGTTATTGACATTTCTCCTGGCAATCTTGATTCCAGCTTGTGCTTGTGCTTCATCCAGCCTGGCATTTCTTTTTTTTTTTTTCAGCCTGGCAATTCTCATGATGTACTCTCCATATAAGTTAAATAAGCAGGGTGACAATATACAGGCTTGAAGTACTCCTTTCCATAGTTTGAAACAGTCTGTTCCATGTCTAACTGTTGATTCTTGACCTACATACAGATTTCTCAGGAGGCAGGTCAGGTGGTCTGGTATTCCCATCTCTTTAAGAATTCTCCACAGTCTGTTGTGATCCACACAGTCAAAGGCTTTCATGTAGTCAATGAAGCAGAAGTAGATGTTTTTCTGGAACTCTCTTCCTTTTTCGATGATCCATCGGATGTTCGCAATTTGATCTCTGGTTCCTCTGCCTTTTCTAAATCCAGTTTGAACATCTGGAAGTTCTCAGTTCATGTACTGTTGAAGCCTGGCTTGGAGAATTTTAAGCATTACTTTGCTAGCATGTGAGATGAGTGCAACTGTGCAGTAGTTTGGGTATTCTTTGGTATTGCCCTTCTTTGGGATTGGAATGAAAACTGACCTTTTCCAGTCCTGTGGCCACTTAGGTTTGTGAGCGGGAAGGATAAAGAGGTTGGGAAATTGGTGTATGGAGGAGAGAGTTGTGGCTGCTGGGCCCCAGGAGGAAGGAAGAGGGAGGCTATTCCTGGCCGGGGCCAAGGAGTGGACTTGAAAGGAGTTGTTCTGCAGAAGGCTCTCTGGTCCCTGCTCGAGTCCATGCCCTGTCCTGCCCTCAGCCTGATTTCCCATCTCTAAGCTGGACACTTCTGCTCTCAGTGTCCAGTGAGGGCCCTCCATGGTCCTGTGCCCTCAATCTCAAGATAAGAGGCTAACCCACAGCCGCACATGAGTGTAGTGTGGCCACAGGCCTCCCTGGCCCTCATGAAGAGAGGCCGGCTGGATCCTGGTGGCATGGAGCGTCCCGCGCACCTTGTTTGCAAGGGGAGGAGACCTGGGGAGGGCCTGGGAAAGGTTTGGGGAGTGGAGGGCCCCATGAGCATGCAGGAAGAGGTCGTGTGCCCAAGATGATGGCCCCCTGGACATCAACTGCCCTGCCAAGTCCCTCGTCCCCACCGCACCTCTAGTGTGCCCAAAGTACAGAGCAGGTGCTCAATAAATACTTGTGGAGGAACGACAAATTCTTCCTGCAGGTTTATCATATCCCATTTTACAGAATATAGAATAAAGTCTGATGGGTTAAGGTCTCCCTGGCACCATGCCAGGCACTGAGACGCCCACCCCCCACCACTAGCCATCACCCTCCACCCCGCGTTCACAGGCATTGGGACCATTAAGAAGAGGAGCAATACTGGGGCAGCTGTGGAGTGTGCACCCAGCGGGGATGGAGTGAGCCCAGGCAGGCCTGGAGAGCACAGCACCAGGTGGCCACAGAGGCTGAAGTGCCCAGCAATCCTGGCCCAGGTGGTGGCTGCAGGCAGTCCCGTTGTTCAGGAGCAGCGGGCAGGCGCACATCGAGGTAGTCATCAGCTAACAGGGCTGCTCAGTGACCCCTGAGCTCAGTCATCAGCTGCATTTTACAGGAAGAGAGAACGAGGTTTCAGGCTCCCATCTGGGAGGGTAGAGAAGAAACCACTCCCCACAGTTTGGAGGGGGAAGCAGGTTAGGACACGTGTTACCAAAATGTATGCTTGGGGGGTGTCTGGCTGCTCGCCACTCCAAAGCCAATAAGCTGGCCAGGTTGGAGGAAAGGAAAATTTGCTTTATTTCAGATGCTGGCAACTGGCAGGGAGGGTGGCAGCCGTCTGTCCAAAGGCCAACTCCCCCCTCTGACAAGCAGGCAGTGAGAGCTTTTACAGACAAAGTTGGGGGGGACTACATGCAGAAACAGCACCGTCATCCCTAACAGTCCGCTTCAAGTTGGTCATCAGTGGTCTGACCAGCATCATCTTGGTTGTTTTAGGTGTAGTTTTTCAGTCCTGGGTGCCCTTGTTCCCAATTCTTTGTGATCAATTCTCAGAATTGTGGCAGCTCAAGTCCTGGGTACAGTTTGGTCATCACGTACCTGGTGACCAACTTCTCCAGCTGGTGTTTTGGTATCTATAAGGCAGCTCACAGGATATGGCTCCAAATGTTATCTATAGCCCATGAGAAAGAATTGGAGGTCCTTGAATACACTTACTGACTACATTATTATTATTTAGTCTCCTTAGACTGTTTTCCTTTGTTTCTCACTTCTCTGATTAAACTTCTTCTTGAACTAGAGTTATCCACAGGCAAAGGACAGGCAGAGAACAAGGTCTGGGAGCAAGGTCCTGCCCCGCTTCACAAGGAGGAGCCAGCCCTGCCAGCTGCCCTCAATCACCAGCTCCCTCCCTCAGGTCCCCCTGACTCAGTGCATTCTCGAAGGTACTATTCCTCCAGGCAGCCTTCCTTGAGCCCCTTCAGGCAGAAAGCATTGTCTCTTCCTCTTCTGTGCACCTGACAGCCAAGGGCTCCTTTCTGAGCACCCCTGCTGCTGGGCCCATCTCTGCCCATTCTATGCCCCACCTCAACTCTTCCCAGCCTGTAGTGGAAGAGGCGAGGGATGAGGAGGTAGATATTTGAGACCCTGTGAAAGCTGAATAATGCCCCCCCCCCAATACCTAGAAAGTGAATCTGTTACTTAACAGTAAAGATGGACTTTACAGAGGTGATGAAGTTAAGGATATGGAGTTGGAGATGTCCTCGATTATCTGGGTGAGCTCAGTGCAATCCTGGTGTCCTTTGCAGAAAGAGTGCAGCAGGAAAGTGAGGAAGAGAATGAGGAAGATAAGTACCATGTGCTGTTCTAAGGAACTGAGTCAGTGGTGATTTGTTGTAGCAGCTGGGCAAACCTATACAGACCATCAGTCAGCCCTGCTCCTGCCCAACCAGTCTCCTCCCTGTGGGGCAGACGTAGCGCCCTGGTCCAGGCCCCTGCGGGCATCATTGGCCCAGATGTTGGACAGGAACTAGTCCAGGGAGACACTCCCTCAGACGAAGCAGCAGATCCCGGCGGAAGCAGCTCTGCTGACGCGCCTGGGTGAGGATGCCGGGAGCCGGGTGAACCAAGGTGCCCGCAGCAGTCCCTGCAGGGCCGTCCCTTCCTACAGAGCTATTCGGCACCCGTTGTGTGCCAGGTCCTGAGGACACACATGTGAACAATCAACCAGGTGCCCCCAGCCCCAAAGAAGTGACATTTCTCCCTGGAAAACGCTGGATGCCACCCTGCCACACAGCGCGCCTGCAAGCGGGGGAGACAGAAGGCCCTTGTCCAGTTTGTGTGGTGAGGAGCTGCCGTCTGCCCCACTGTGATAATTCAGGAAGGCTTCCAGGAGGAGGACCTCCTCCCTGCAAGCTGCTGTCCACAGGGAGGGCGGAGGCCCCCTCGCCCTCAGTGCTGACAAGGTGCTGAAGGAGGGCAGAGACTGACGCTGAGCATTCGGCGGGTGGAGATGCGGGTGATGGGGGCTCGTGGTGGGCAGAGGGCCCAGGACCCCCGGGGCAGGCCAGGAATGTCGGGAGCGATCCCCACCGACACGGCCTGACCTGCAGGCAACCTTGGCCGCTCTGAGCCAGACCACGGCTGCCCTCACAAGAGGAGGCTTCTAGAGAACTCCAGAAGCCACCCCCCACAGCAGGAGTGAGGGCCAACTGCAAGCTGCTGTTCCGGGCCCAAGCGGAAGTCCGTCTGGGAGGCCCGGGCCGTCTGTCCCTCCGCAGGCCTGGCCAGGCCCCTTCCCGGCAGGCCCCAGCCCCAGCCCCAGCTGGGTGCGCAAGGCCACCACGCAGGCCTTGCATGGGGACGGCTGGATCCCACCCAGGCCCAGCCTGCAGGCAGTACCCAGTCTGGGAAGGAGCAGGGTGGTTGGTCCCGGCCACTCGCAGACGTGGCCAGGGACCCAGCAAAAGCCCAAAGGATGAGTCAAATCAGAGTGCCAGCCAGGGCTGAAAGTTCTCCTGGGGCAATGATGACTTGGGGGACACTTCTGAGGCTCAGGGTCGGGGGGTGCCCCTAGCAGGGCCCCGCGGGATGCTGCCCCAGGGACTGGAGTCCCAGGAGAGATGCGGACCAAGGGCACCCCTGGCTCGTTGATGAGTGCCTCCCCGCGGGGCCTCGACACCCACGGGACTCCTCCAGCGGTGGCCCACGGGTTAGGCACTGCAGTCGGGGCTGCTCCTCGAGAGGGTCCCTGCCTCCTGAGGACGCCCGGAATGAGCCGCCGGGCCTCGCTGGAGCAGGGCGCCCTTTCCCCGCGCCCGCCGATGTCTCCGGGGGGATCACGGGGAGCCTCAGGACGACCCCCGGGCCCCCGCGCCCCGTGCCTGCGGGGTCCGGTCAGGGCCAGCGTCCGCCCCGCCCCCCGCGCGCTCCGAGGGCCCAACAGATGTCTCTGTGTCCTTCGGGAGCCCCTCGGGCTCCAAAGCCCCGGGTGGGATGGCGTCCGGGTCGGGACCCGAGTCCGGGCTGGGGCTCCAGTCCGGGTCGGGGCTCGCGGGGCGCGGCGTCCTGCCGGGGGTCCGGAGCGCTGGGGCGGTGGGCCGAGGCGGGAACCAGGAGAGGCCGGGAGCCGGGGCAAGGGCCACGAGCTGGGGCCGCGCAGGGTGGGCGGTGGTGGCGCGCGGGATGAGGAAGAAGATGTAGACGCCCGAGACCACGAGCCCCGCGGCCACAAGCACGGCCAGGACGACGGCCGCGTGGAAGAGCCAGGCCGAGCGCGCCAGCGACAGGCGGCGCGACAGCGGGCGGCCGAGGCGCAAAGCGCGTGGGTGCGCGGCACACCGGGCAGGCCACCGCCGCGCCGCCGCCCGCCGTGGCCAGAGACAGGCGGGCCAGGCACTCGAGGCAGAAGACGTGGCCGCAGTCCAGGCTCTTGGGCAGCTTGAACACGCCGTCGAAAGGCGACACGCAAATGAGGCACTCCACCGGAGAGGCGGGGGCCAGCATGGGGGCCGGGCTGCCGTCGGCCTCCTCTTCGCCGCCCTCTTCCTCGTCCTCTCCCCTATCGGGGGAGTGCGGGGTGCACGCGGAGCCCGGGGTGCTGGGGCCCGAGCCCCGGGGGGCCCGCGGGCGGCGGAGCCAGGGTGGCCGAGGGCAGGGCATCCGGGCCGGCCTGCGGGGAGAGGCAGTCAGCGGCCGTGCTCTGGAGGGACCAACACCGGGAAGGGTTGCCGGAGGAGCAGAGAGCATGGAGGAGGCAGGAGGGTGCGGGGAGTGGGAGGAAGTGGACCCGAAGCTGCCGGCGGGCGAATGGGGTCTAGGGGCTCTGAGCACTGCGGACTCAGAGCCAGATGTGGGGACCCCCAGGCAGATCTGACTTCAGAAAAGACCCGACGGGCTCCCAGGAGATCTGGGCAGACAGACCCGGGAGGAGACCCCAGACTCAAGGGAGAGGCAGGGGAAGGAGAGGCCCCAAACCTCAGGACGTCGGGCCGGCAGCCCACCAGGCCAGGTTCCCCAAGCACAGACCCCAACAGCCTCTTCCTACCTGGTGGCGCCTCCACCCTCGGGCTGGCACTTCAGCGCGGTTCTAAACCCATCCCTAGACCTGTGCGCAGGTGGACACTGCGGGCCCCTCCCCGTGGGCGGGGCCGGCGCCCTCCAGGTTCTCACAGGACCTGTCTGACCGCCCCCAGAAGGTCCCGACAGGATGGAGCGCAGAAGCCTGACCTCAGCGGGGTGTCGGGGGAGGCCGGAAGCACAGGTTGACAAGGCCATGACAGTCCAGGGCCTGGAAGGGCCCCCCCCACCACCACCTCCAGCCTTCCGGAGGTCATGAACCTTCCACCCAGAACCACTGTAGGATGAGAGCTATCCAGGGTACCAGTGTGTCCATGGGGGGAGACCTAGGCCGGGGACAGGGTGCCCGAAGCCGCCTTCTGAGGTCCTGGGGGTTGAAGGCGGGCAGACCCCACAGTGCATTGAACTAGGTCAGCGCCGTGCAGCCAGCAGACAGGAGGAAGAGACTGTTTAGCCCAGGTCCTGACTCCGGCTGCTTCCTGGCAACTCTCAGGGTGGGCTGGACCTCCCAAGTGCCTGCCCAGTGCCATCTCTGCCAGGGCAACCCCACCCCTCTCATTTCTGATACCGGCCGGGTCGGTCCGGGCAGCCAGGCCTGCAGCCCAGGGTGCCGCGGTTTCTGAGTCAGCGATGCTTCCCGAGCTGAGTCCTCCCTGGTGAATCCAGGTCCCCACAGGGCGAAGACACGCCAAGAATGAATGCAGCCAACTCCTCAGACACCAGGCTCAGCCGGCCCCTCACCCCCGGCTCCCACCCCAGCCCCAGCCCCAGCCCAGGACAGACAGGAGAAGGGGCTGCCCCACAGGGCAAACAGGTTTATTGCAGCTGCAGCCAGGGATCAGCGGTTAGACTTGGCCACGCGCTCCAGCTCGTCCTTCTTCTTGATGGCGTAGGAGTTGGAGGAGCCCTGCAGGAAGACACTCAGCTCAATGCGGACCCCCTTCCCGAGACCCCCGCCTCCCTGTAGCGTCCTCACCCACCTTGGCTGCATTGATGAGCTCATCCGCCAGGCACTCGGCAATAGTCTTGATGTTCCGGAAGGCGGCCTCCCGGGCACCGGTGCACAGCAGCCAAATGGCCTAGGGGCAGGGGGTCAGCTGAGCAGGTGCCCCCACCCCAGGAGGGCCCACAGTTCTCTGGTACCAGGCCCCTAACACACCCTGGCTACCACGCTGCCACCCGCAGGCCTACCAAGCACAGCAGTGGGAGCCCAGAGTGCTGCCCAGAGCAGGCCACTAGGGCTGGGATCAGACTGAGGGCCATGGAAAAGGGTGTCCAAGGCTGAGGCCTGGGCCCCTGATGGCAGCAGATTTAAACCAGCTGAGATGGGGAAAGCAATGTGTGCTCCTGGCCCAAAAGCCTTGACTGAAAACAACCAACCATAAAGGGTATGCTGGGGACAGCGCCACAAATTGGACCGGTGTTGCAACGTGGACGACAGATTGCTGTTAAATTCCTTGCAGGTGACAGTGGGGACAGACTAGACTGTCTAGGAGACACCCACTGAAGTGTTAACAGAAAAATGGTCAGGACACCTGCAATGGGTTCTCACATGATCCAAGAAAATAAAAACAATGTGAAAACATACACCCTGGAAACTGGCCCTTCAGCCAAATGATGCCAAGAGAGGGCCAGAGCAAGGATGTGCTCTGTGGGGTGGGAACCCTGGAAGGCTTCCTGGAGGAAATGACACTCAGGTAAAACATGCAGACAGAGGTGAACATCCCCAGTTGCTATCCTCTGCCCCAGGCAGCATTCTGACCCAGCCTGGTGGCTGTTCCTGGGTGGCCACATGTGCCCAAAGGCCCCAAGCCCACCTGATTCACACGGCGCAGTGGGGACACGTCCACAGCCTGCCGCCTCACTGTTCCAGCTCGCCCAATGCGGGTGGAGTCCTCCCGGGGGCCGCTGTTGATGATGGCGTTCACCAGGACCTGCAGGGGGTTCTGGGGGGCGCGGGGGGATGCCCATGAGCCAGACGCCCAGCCCGCGTCCCTCCCCGTCCCTGGAGGACCCCGGCATGCGTATGGTGGGGGTGCTGTTGGCTTCGGGTGCCTGAGGGCACTCTCCCCACTGGCCCCGGGCCCTACCTCGCCAGTGAGCAGGTGGATGATCTCGAAGGCATGCTTGACGATGCGCACGGTCATGAGCTTCTTGCCATTGTTGCGGCCGTGCATCATCATGGAGTTGGTGAGGCGTTCCACGATGGGGCACTGTGCCTTGCGGAAGCGCTTGGCCGCATAGCGGCCCGCGCTGTGGGGCAGGTACTTGGCGTACTTCTCCTTGACAGCAATGTAATCCTGGAGCAGTGGAAGAAGCTCACTCAAGAGCAGGATGGACATCCGAGGGTACCAGGGGGACCCAACACCTGCTTATGGGAGCCCCCACCCACCTGTGGGGCTTTGGATGTGAGCCCCTGCCTGCTACAAAGAATAAAATCTAAGCAAGTGATCCTTGGAAAGAAAGCTATGACAACCTAGACAGAGTATTAAAAATAAGAGACGTCACTTTGCCAACTAAGGTCTGCCTAGTTAAAGCTATGGTTTTTCCAGTAGTCATGTACAGATGTGAGAGTTGGACCATAAAGAAAGCTGAGCGCTGAAGAACTGGTGCTTTTGAACTGTGGTATTGGAGAAGACTCTTGAGAGAGTCCCTTGGACTGCAAGGAGATCCAACCAATCTATCCTAAAGGAAATCAACCGTGAATATTCACTGGAAGGACTGATGCTGAAGCTCCAATACTTTGGCCACCCGATGCAAAGAACAGACTCACCGGAAAAGACCCTCATGCTGGGAAAGACTGAAGGCGGGAGGAGAAGGGGGCGACAGAGGATGAGATGGTTGGATGGCATCACCGACTCAATGGACATGAATCTGAACAAATTCCAGGGGACAGTGAAAAAGAGGGAAGCCTGGCGTGCTGCAGTCCAAAGGTTTGCAAAGAGTCGGACGCGACTGAACTGAGTGATATGAGTTAGCAACTGAACAACAAAGTGACTTTACCAGCTCACTAAAAAGAGTACTTTCTTAACAATGGGAGGAAGGATGTGGAGAACTAAGGAGATGATGGCCCACAACCCCAGTTTTCTTTTAAAAGTGTTCTTCACTCTTCACTGACCCAAACACTGCCGAGTGTTCCCTAAAGGGCTGATGGGGGAACCATCCCAGAGAACCACTGTTTTAAAAGAATCATTCAACAATCTTGCCTATGAATACATACATGTCCCAAGACAATATCTAGTAAACACTATATCGTTGGGGGAGGGGCTGAGTCAGAGGAACTCTATGTACCTAAAAAGGATTACTTCTGACCTGTTTCCACGATGAACCCTACATAAAAGTCACTCTACCACAAACAAGAACATTTACAAACAATGAGTTTCTACAAAACCAAGGATTGACAGGAAAGAATACAGGATTCTGACATAGGCATGATAGACTGGAGTCTCCTCTGGAGAGAACCATTTGCACAAACAGAAGTATACAGATGGGTGTACATGCAGGGACTCCCACTGTGCAAGAAAAAACTGTGAATACCAAACACCCCAGCAAGCATTTGGTTATGTTGCTGGGCCCCATGGTAGAGTCCAGTACACCTTTGATAGTGAGAATTTTGATACCATGCTGACTTCTGCTCCCCCAGCCTCTTGAAGAACACCAGGGAAAAGTGAAAAATTGTTTTTACATTATTAAAGTTTTGTACCAAAAAAAAGCAAGAAGGGGAAAAAAAATACAAAGAGGCAAACACACATGTGACAGACCATCATGTGACCCGCCAAGACTAAAACACTTAGTATCTGGCCGTTTTAAGCTTGCAAACCTCCTCCAACAAACCTATGAAGGAAAACAGCTCTAGAAGACACTCAAAGTGAAAACAAGATTTGAATTCTCTGTTGGGCTCAGTGCCTAGTTATTGTGATTTACATGAAAAGTCAAAGTTGCTCAGTTGTGTCCAACTCTTTGCGACCCCATGAACAACTATACAGTCCATGGAATTCTCCACGCCAGAATACTGGAGTGGGTAACCTATCCCTTCTCCAGCCGATCTTCCCAGTGCAGAAATCAAACCCGGGTTCCCTGCGTTACACAGAAATAACAAATAGTAATGCTGGTTGGATGGCAACACAACGGACGTTGAGTTTGAGGAAACTCCGAGAAAGAGTGAAGAACAGGGAAGCCTGATGTGCTGCAGTTCATGGGGTCACAGTCAGACATAACTTAGCGCCTGAACAATACCAATGCAGTCACAAAACATAAATTTCTTTTTATAAAGGCCCCACAAATGTCCTAATGAGCCCAAGTGTAAAACAGTGTGGGGGCAACACTGCAGTGGAGAACTCCCATTTATCAATTTCAAAACTTATTACAAAGCTATAGTAATCAAGACTGTGATACTGGCACCAAAAAAAGGGGGGGGGGGGCACAGAGACCAATGAAATAAGAGTTCAGAATCCAGAAATAAACCCTTACATCTTTGCTGAATTGATATTCAACAACAGTGCCAAGACTATTCAATGGGATAAACAGTCCCTTCAACAAATGGTGCCGGGATACATACATATACCATATAAATGAGATTTAAATAACATTTTATGGCCTAAATTTGTTAAGATGCACAGAACTCCAAAAGACAAAAATCACATGTGCTGAGACAATTGGATTTCCTCACACAAAATAATAATTTGGGGCTCGTACACTTCAAATACCTGTGCACCTGGAGGGACGTGAGTACCTGAGGGTTTTGGTAACCTTGGGGCTCCTGGAACCAACATACCCTCAGACACTGAGGGACAACTGGAAAGTGTTTAGATTTTCAGGCATTTGAATCTTTGTAATTTGACTCTTCTCTCCAGGGCACAACTTCTGGACTTGATGAATACTGCCCATTTTTATCTAATTCTAAAACATATAATTCAAATTAAATAGTATTGCCTTTGCTATTTCCGATACTTGAGTAAAATAAGAAACACATTTAAAAAACAAAATGTATAAAACTAAAAAATAAATTTTCTGTATATTTCACTACAACACAAAAAACTAAACCACCTGTGGGATGGGATAATTACTGTGGAAGGAACCATCTCCTGAGAAAAACTGTAGCAACCTCTAACAGGATACAAAGAAAAACAGATATGGTGGGTGTGGTGGTCCAGGAATCCCTCCTTTACCTGTGCCACCTTCAACTCTACTTGGCAGGAAGGCTACAAGTTTCAAGTGACCCCGCCCCCAGCCAGGGAGCACAATCTTACACCCTCCTTACCTGCAGAGAAATGTCATTGATCTGCACGTCGTCGGTGCTCCACTTCCCAAAGAGCTTGATGTCGGGGGTCTCTGCTACTGCAGGCGCAGCTGTTTCCCACTCCGTCATCCTAGGGATAAAAATCGTCAAAGCCCAGGCATATGTATCACTAACTCTGAGGTCAGTTTAGAGCACAATATGAGAACTGGGAAATTTCTAGCAACCAAAGAACGCTGGGAATATCTGGGTCCACCGTGTTGAATCTTAGAAAAAACACTCTGTCAGCAAGCAACACCTGTCTCTCACCCAGGAACCCTGAGGCCCAGAGCGGACAGGCACCCCCTCAACAATTGCAGGCCGGCCCAGGGATGGGCAAATGCCCTGAGTCCAAATGCCCTTACGCTGCATCCGCTAGAATTCAACCCCCAACCATGTTCTTCCAGAGTTCTGCGATCCTACAGATCTAAAACTCTCCTTTGGGCTCAGCTCCCTCATCAGTATAGCGTTTAAGAGTTCTGTTTTACAAATACAAAAGTTGAAGTTGGTGTCCGACCCCGAGGAGATCATTAGGGGCTGTTATTTAGGAGGAAGCATCTATTTAAGGAATTTTCTTACGTAAATAAAGTACAACTGCAAAGACCAAGGTAACCGCGAGCAACGTCCCCAGTACGCCGCGAAGCAAGGCTACAGCGGCGGCGAAGCTGAAGCGAGAAAGCAAGAGAAACTTTCCTCGCGCCTCCGTCAGGTCACCCGCACGAGGAAAGGCCCCGGGCGCGGGACGCACCCACAGCTTCCGGGAGACCCAGGATCGCCCCTCGGACCCCCTACTCCGCGGCAACCTCACCTGAAGGCACGGCCGAGTCGTCTCGATCGTTCCGCGTTAACCACGCGCCGACCAGGCACAGACAGGAAGAGGCCGCGCACCGCGGGCTGAGGCCTTTAACTGAGGCGAGAACTTCCGGGTCAGCGAAGGTGGCGCGTGCGCATACAGATTCGGCCTAGTAACGGGCCAATCCGGAACGAGCATGTAAACGCGCCCTCAGGGCCAGACGGAACACGTATACATTCAGCGCGTGCGTTCTCGCAGAAGTGGGCCCAAAAGGCAGTCTGGCGGAAGTCCAACTTCCAGCACTTGAAAGCTCGTTGGGGAGGCACTTGCACAGGCGCAAAGGTCTCTTTGAGGCCAACGCCGCCATGTCTAATGTGGTCAGAAGTCTGGCGCGCAGTGATCGCTACTCCGACACGCACGCGTCGCAGGCCGGGTGGGCTCAGTGGTGCCGGGACGTCGCGACTGCGCTCCGCTGTGGTCCCGGCCCCGCGTGTGTGGCCGGGCTCCACTCGAGGGTCTGCCTCCCCCACGCTCGTGCGCCCGGGGCTGTTTGGGGCCTGAGCCTCCGAGAGGGGTCCCGTCGCTTCATGCCATGCCGGGATCCCCTTCCCACTGTCTCTCCTTGGTGCCCGCGTTTCCTGCCCCATTTCCACTTGCGGGAGGGGGTCGGGGAGGGGTCCTGGGGGACAGCTCCCTCCCTTTCTGATTCAGCTAGGGCCTGTGCTGCTGAGGTCTCTGGTCGAGTGCAGGGGCCGCACCGTGATGGGTGCCCTGTCCACTCTGCAGCTGCACTCAGTGACCCCGGCGATTGGCGTGGAGAGCACGTAGCAAGAGTCACACCCCCAGCCTAGACCCTGGAGCCGAGCTGGGACGTGGACGCCTCCTCGGCGGGCTTCGCAGGCGCAGCGACCACTAGCTGCACACCCGTGCTGGCTGCAGATGGCAGGAAGCGTCATCTGGGGGAGCTGAGTCCCCTGAGCCTTCTCATCTCCAAGTGCCCATGTCAACCTTCGCGGCTGGGAGCTCGCCTTCTGACTCAGGCGGTCCTTCATTTTCTCCAACACCCCCACTAGTCCACCGTCATATGCATTGCGGGTGCTCAGCAGCTTTGGTGTTTGTTGACTGACTATAAAGACTTGTTCCTACCCCATCTCAATTCCTAGAGCTTTCCATAAACTCTGGAGTGGCTCAGTCACAGCTCATGTCTTTGTCCAGGGGGGACACAGGCCTAGAAGCTGGTCTGGGCAGGGGATCAGGCGTCAGGTTCTGGGGGGTGGAAGTCTGGGAGCTGCACCCAGAGGCCAAGCTCCCCCACCACCATCCTGTGGCCTTCCCCTGGCCTCTGCCCTGCTCTGTGCAGAGCAGCAGTTGGGCTCTCCACCGTGGTCTGTGGGGATGGGGACAGGCTGAGTAGGCTCTGTCTGTTTCTCCGGGACACAGCTGGGGAAATGCTTCCCAGGGAAAACAGGAAGCGAGGAGTAGGCACTGGGCACCCTCACTCAGCAGGATCCAGAGGGCCCCCCAACCCTGCCTCTTTCTCCTCAAAAGCTGACAAGGGCCCACCCCTCTGAACCTGTTTCCCCTGTCTGTGAAAATGAGAACTAAATCAAACAAGGTGAGTCTGGAGTCTGTGGCCTGGCCGTCAGCGATCACTTGATAATGGACATCTTTATAGACCTGACAAGAGTGACCCACCCTACAGTGGAGAGCAGGTGGGAGGACCTGTGGTAAAGCCCTCTGTGGTGGGGGGTCGGGGGTCACCTTGCTTAGGTGAAGATCACACACTATTTGCCAGGGCTCCCCATGTCCCCAGACACAGGCACAAAGTTCGGAGTCTGATCCTGTAAGCCTCAGGATGCTGGTACTGTGTTCTCCAGGCTGGAGGGGGCCAGGCTCTGCAAACCCACCCCCAACCCCCGCCTCAATTCCTGGTGCAGCATGTTCGCTCTGGGCTAAGGAGCCCTGGCCGTCCTGTGTGCCCTAGTTTTCCAACTGCTCCATGAGGGTGGAATGTCAGGCTTGTTCTCTGTGTATCCCCAGCTGGAAGTACAGTGTCTGCTCACAGTAACTGCTGGATAAACAATGGATGGAAGGATGGATGCGGTAGTTCTCTGGTGTCTTGCTGCTCCCACTGTGGGCTTCAGACAGACACTGAGTCACTAAGCCTCCCTCCTTCATGAGACACCAATTTCAGACCCATAGTTCTTTTGTCCCCTGTTCAGAACACCTCCTCACCTGGTTCTGTCCCTCTTCCTGGCCACCTCTTTAAAAAAAAAGAAATTATTTTTATTTTTATTTGGCTACCCGGTTTAGTTGCAGCACATAGGATCTAGTTCCTTGACCAGGGATCCAAACCTGGTCCCCTGCCTTGGGAGCACAGAGTCTTAGCCCCTGGACCACCAGGGAAGTCCTGGCCACCTCTTAATTGAGGTCAGCCTTGGGAAACCCCTTTCTAATCCCAGGTAGGCATTAGGAAGCTAGGAATCAGACTATTTGCTCTTCAGAACAACTTGATTAGGTACTCATGGAGGCCCGGAGAGGTGCAGTAACTTACCCAGGGTCACACAGCAAAAGGGGGCCAAGCTGGAATTCTAAGCTGGTTGCCCCAGAACCTGACCTCTCCTACTTCAGCTGGTCTCTCCACTTCTCTGCATCATGTCTCCCCCAGTGCCAGGGAGCTCAGCATGTACAAAGTACCCAGTAAATGTGTCCAATGAACAAATGAGTCCAGTCAACTCTAGGCCTTTCCACTGGATCTGGCATGATTCAGAGAAGGGCTCTTTCTGCTCGCTAAGCTCCTCCCTTATTAAAGAAAAGGTTCATGAACAAGTAACCATGTAATTACCAAGGAAGGATGGTCTCTTTGATTTCAAACCTGCTCAAACGAACAAATGAATGTGAACAAACAAGCATATTTGTTGTTCCTCTAACTCCTGCAGGACTGTTAGTCTTCCGCCCCCACCCCCCCCACACACACACAACACAGGCATCCATCTCCTTGGCAGACAGCAAGTTGATCTTTCCCACTGCTCTGGCCACTGAGCATCAGTCTGGGCTCACAGGGATGGATGGCTTGTCTGGGCCAGGATGCTTATTATAGGCCTAGAGCGCAAGGCAAGGGAGGTGCCTGGGCCAGCTCACCTGCTAGGTGGGCTAGTCAAAGCCCACTCCCCATCCTCAATTTGCTTAGCTCTAAATCAGGACCACATGTTCATGGTGGCTCTTCGGAACGAGGGCCAGAGGGGGCAACAGGACAGAACGTGCAGATGCCGGAGCAGCTGCAGACCTGTCTCCTCACTTGGCAGCACTTCGGGTGGAGAATAGAGGTGAGGAAGAACTTAGGACAGGGTATTAATAGGGGCTCTCAGAGGCTTGGATTAAGAGTAAGTCCAGAAACACATTTCGAACATCCAAATATCCAGAATTAGTGGGTACAGGATTTCAAATTTTGGAGGCCAGATGTATGAATTCAGAAGTCTCGCAGATACAGATATTAGCGGCTGCGATCTGGAGATGCAAGGCACAAATTCGGAGGGAAAGGGGGACTGGGACTTGAGGAGGGGGAATCCAACGCCTCAGCTGGGTGAGAAACGGGTATGTGGATTTGGGAGGGTGGGACCCAAAGGCAGGAACTGGGGTAGAACCTGGCATCCATACCTGTCGGAACTAGAGGCGGGAACTTAAGTTAGTCCGGAGCGTGGGGTCTAAAGACACATTTCAAACGTTCGGGGGAACGCTCCGACCCCGCTCTGGCCCGCAAGTGGAACCGACTGACAGCCGGGAGCCACACGGAAAGCCTCGCCCTTCCCTGGGCACGACCAATCACTAGCGTGGAAGTGATTGCCAGCTGGGTGACGCCTTGTGTCTCTAAGGCGATGGCGAATCGCAGGGAGGCTCCAGTTTTTTCCAGAGGCAGGAGTACCTACAGCCGCCTGCAGAGAGGTGCTGGGGCGCAGAAAGTGCGGTGGTCGCCATGGTAACCGGGAGGTCTGGCCAAGCCCAGAGAAGATCGCTGGCTCCTCTTCCGCCGGGTGCTCAGCGGGAGCGCCTGGATGCTGCCCTGGGGTGGGGTGGGGGGCGCGCCCTTCCGCCCCTCGGGATGGGGCTGGGGTGAGAGATCGGGGCAGATCAGCCCTGGGTCGTGGGCCGTGGCTGCGCATCTGGCTGCATGGGTCCAGCCCAGGATGCGTGTCTTTCCTGTCTGGGCCTCAGTTTTCCCATCTGTGAAGTGGGAATGTAACTGGTGATGGAAGTAAAGTCCAATGCTGCAAAGAACAATATTGCATAAGAACCTGGAATATTAGGTCCATGAATCAAGGCAAGTTGGAAGTGGTCAAACGGGAGATGGTAAGAGTGAACATCGACATTTTAGGAATCAGTGAACTAAAATGGACTGGAATCGGTGACTTTAACATAGATGACCAACCATTATATCTACTATTGTGGGCAATAATCCCTTAGAAGAAATGGAGTAGCCATCCTCGTCAACAATAGAGTCTGAAATGCAGTACTTGTGTACAATCTCAAAAAAGACAGAATGACCTCAGTTCATTTCTGAGGCAAACCATTCAATATCGCAGTAATCCAAGTCTGTTCCCCAACCAGTAATGCTGAAGAAGCTGAAGTTGAGCGGTTCTATGAAGACCTACAAAACCTTCTAAAACTAACACCCAAAAAAGATGTCCTTTTCGTGAAAGGGGACTGGAATGCAAAAGTAGGAAGTCAGGAGATACGTGGAGTAACAGGCAAATTTGGCCTTGGAGTACAGAATGAAACAGGGCAAAGGCTAACAGTTTTGCCAAGAGAATGCACTGACATCCTCTTCCAAAAACACAAGAGAAGGCTCTGCACATGGGCATCACCAGACGGTCAATGCTAAAATCAGATTGATTATATTCTTTGCAGCCAAAGATGGAGAAGCTCTACACATTCAGCAAAAACAAGACCGGGAGCTGACTGTGGCTCAGATCATGAACTCCTTATTGCCAAATTCAGACTTAAGCTGAAGAAAGTAGGGAATACCAATAGACCATTCAGGTATGACCTAAATCATATCCCTTACAATTATACAGTGGAAGTGACAAATAGATTCAAGGGATTAGATCTGATAGACAGAGTGCCTGACAAACTATGGATGGAGGTTCATGACATTGTACAGGAGGCAGTGATCAAAACCAACCCCAAGAAAAAGAAATGGAAAAAGGCAAAATGGTTCTCTGAGGAGGACTTACAAGTAGCTGAGAAAAGAAGAGAAGCTAAAGGCAAAGGAGAAAAGCAAAGATATAACCGTTTGAATGCACAGTTCCAAAGAATAGCAAGGAGAGATAAGAACGCCTTCCTCAGTGATCAATGCAAAGAAACAGAGGGAAACAACAGAATGTAAAAGACTAGATATCTCTTCAAGAAAATTAATGATACCCGGGGAACATTTCATGCAGATAGGCAAAATAAAGGACAGAAATGGTATGGACCTAACAGAAGCAGAAGATATTAAAAGGGGGTGGCAAGAATACACAGAAGAACTATATAAAAAAGATCTTCACGGCCCAGATAATCACGATGGTGTGATCACTCACCTAGAGCCAGACATCCTGGAATGGAAGTCAAGTGGGCCTTAGGAAGCATCACTATGAACAAAGCTAGTGGAGGTGATGGAATTCCAGTTGAGCTATTTCATATCCTAAAAGATGATGCTGTGAAAGTGCTGCACTCAATATGCCAGCAAATTTGGAAAACTCAGCAGTGGCCACAGGCCTAGAAAAGGTCAGTTTTCATTCCAACCCCAAAGAAAGGCAATGCCAAAGAATGTCCAAACTACTGCACAATTTCACGCATCTCATATGCTAGCAAAGTAATGCTCAAAACTCTCCAAGCAAGGCTTCAACAGTATGTGAACCATGAACTTCCAGATGTTCAAGCTGGATTTAGAAAAGGCAGAGGAACCAGAAATCAAATTGCCAACATCTGTTGGATCATCAAAGCCTTTGACTGTGTGGATCTCAATACATTGTGGAAAATTCTGAAAGAGATGGGAATACCAGACCACCTGACCTGCCTCTTGAGAAATCTGTATGCAGGTCAGGAAGCAACAGTTAGAACTGAACATGGAACAACAGACTGGTTTCAAATAGGGCTAGGAGTACATCAAGGTTGTATATTGTCACCCTGCTTATTTAACTTATATGTGTGCT